AGAGTCAGAAACAGGGACAGATTTGAAGATGCTACTCTGCTGGCTTTGAAGATAGAGGAAGGGGCCGTGAGCCTCTAGAAGTTGGATAAGGCAAGGAAATGGATTCTCCCATAAAGCCTCCAGAAGGAATGTAGCCGTGCCCACACCTTAATTTTAGCCCAGTAAGACCCATTTTGAACTTCTGACCTCCAGAACCGTAAGATAATAAATTTGTGTTATTTTAAGTGTGCAGTAATTTGTTACAGCAGCAATAGGAAAATTACAGATTTTGATATCTGGAAGTGGGATGCTGCTGTAACAAATACCTAAAAATGTGGAAGTGGCTTTAGAATTTGGTAATGAGTACAAGCTGTAAGAATTCTGAAGAGCATTATAGCAAGTGCCTAAATTTCCTTGAACAGACTGGTAAAAGAAATATGGATGTTAATGACTCTGCTGGAGGACTCAGAAGGAAGTGAGGAGCACAATAGAAAAAATCTATATTGTTTTAGAGAATACCTAAATTATTACAAACAGACTATTGATAGAAATATGGATGTTAAAGGTGCTGCTGGGGAAGACTCAGAAGGAAATAAGAATGTGTTACTGGAAACTGGAGGAAAGGGTGTCCCTGCTACATAGTGGCAGAAAACTTAGCTGAATTTTGTCCTGTAGTTATGTGGAAAGCAGATTTGTCAATGCTGAACTTGGATTTTTCTCTGAGGAGATTTCCAAGCAAAGAGTTGAAGATGTAGCCTGGTTTCTTCTTCCTGCTTATAATAAAATGTGAGAGTTAAGAGAAAGATGGAGGGAAGAACTGTTGAGCAAAAAGGAACTGGAGTTGATGATTTGGGAAGTTTTTAGGCTGTCAAGATTCCAAAAGATGCTAAAATTAGTTTCACTGTCAGAAAAGTGTGCTCTTGAGAGAAAGCCAAGGGTGTGGATAGATGCTTTATGTATTTTTCTAGGTTTTTAGGTAATTAGCAGGAGGAATAGGGTGGAATGCACTTACTCCATTTTTTTAGAGTCGGAAGTCTCAATCTCTAACTTGAATATTTAGTCCATTTACATTTAATGTAATTACTGATATATTTGAATTTATATATGCCACCTTACTCTTAGTTTTATATTTGAAACATCTGTTTAATATTATTTTTCCATTCCTTTCTTGACCTTCTTTTAGAGTACTCAAAATTTTATTTTTCCCTTTGTTAACTTGTTTTTTATATATTCTTTTATTGTTACGCTAAATATTACAGTATCCTTCTTTAGCTCAGTATTGTTTTACCCCCTTCTCAATAGTTCTAGGATACTAAAGGACCTTAATTCCATTTACTGCCTCTCACTTTTGCATTATTATTTTCATGTATTTCAATTCTTCATATGTTTTAAACTTCACATGATATTACAGTTACTGTTTTGCATAGTCAGTATTTGCAGTTTTATAAAGTGGGATTTGAGGAGCTTCTTGAATCTTTGGGTTGATGTCATTTACCATCACCTTTTCAAATATTGTTTCTGCCCCATATTTTCCCTCTTTATCTTCTAATACTCCAATATGTTATTCTTTTTCACTGTGTCATACATGTGACACATGTCACATACTCTTGTGTTTATTTTCATTAAAAAACATCTCTGTGCTTCAGTTTGGATATTTTCCATTTACTTGTCTTCCATTTCAGTAATTCTGTATTCTGCTGTTAAACCTATCTCAGTTCTTAATTTTAGATATTGAGTTTTTCAATTTTTGAATTTTCATTTGATTCTTTATTATAAATTCCAATTCTCAAATGAAAGTCTCCTTCTCGCCTAACTCCAATTCCCTGTAGAACTGTTTCTATGGAATATATTTTTTCTCTGGTTTTGGATATTTGGCCCTGTCTTTTGGTGTGCATATGATTTTTTTTTTTATTGTGTCAAACAGTGTATAAAGCATTACAGAGGATCTGGATGATGGTATCTTTCCCAACAAAGGATTCATCTTTCCCTTTGTTAGCAGATAGAGTGGAGGATGAACACCTTTATCCAGTCAAGCAGTGTTGAGTTGAATCAAGGCTAAGTTGAAGCCCTAATAAGACTTAGTCTACCTCTAGTTCACCCTGGCCGTCCAGGGTTTTCTGCTGAGAGCCCAGTTTGTCCTCTGTGGATATTCCTCCTGCTTAATGCCCAACTCTGTTTTCTTACCAGACCACTAAAATTTTGCTTTGCTTTTCAGAGGCTATCTGCTTAAGTTTTTAGTCTTCTGCCCATACAGCCCTAGAATTCTGCAGATGTCCTGAGGGGAAAACTGGCCATGTGTTTCAGTTCTCCTGGTTTTTGTTTCACCCAACAGCAGCCTTCTGCTGGTTCAAAGCTGGATTTTCACCTTTTGCCCACAACCAGAGTTGGTAAATACTCCCCGTGTAAGAGTGGCTGCCTACGTCAGCTTACATCTTCAGTGTTCTCTCCAGAGTCTTAGTCCCTAACAGCTTTCCGGTGCTTTCAAACAGATGCTTTCACTATTTCATCTGGTGCTTATAGTTATTCTCGGAAGAAACACCACACTGCCATAAGCTATTATATCCCATTTGGAAATGGTAGTACCTCAAAAGAGCCCCCTTCACATACCATACAGTTCGCCCATTTAAAACGTACGTTCAGTGATTTTTAGTATATTCACAGAGTTGTGTGACCATCATCGCAGTTTTAGAACATCTTCTTTAACCATCCCCCTCTAAACTCATACCTTTTAGCTATCACTCCCTGATCGTTCCATTCCCCCTAGCCCTGGGAAACCACTAATCTTCTTTCTGTCTCAATATTTTTGTCTGTTCTGGACATTTCATATAAATGGAATAATACAGTGTGTGGCCTTTTGTGACTGGCTTCTTTCACTTAGCATGTTTTCAAAATTCCTTTACATTGTAGCATATATCGGTACTTAATTCCTTTTTTCTGGCTAAATAATATTGTATTTTATGGATATACCACATTTTTTTAATCCATCATTAGTTGACAGATATTTGGGTTGTTTCTATTTTTGGCTATTATGAATAACGCTACTATGAACATTCTTGTACAAGTTGTATGTGGATAAATGTTTTCATTTCTATTGGGTATATACCTAGAAGTGGAACTATTGGGTCATATTGTAACTCTGTGTTTAACCTTTTGAGGAATTGCCAGACTGTTTTACTAAGTGGCTGCTCTATTTTACATTCCCACCATCACTGTATGAGGGTTCCAATTTCTCCACTTTCTCACCAACACTTGTTATTGTCTGTCTTTTTTATTATAGCCATCCTAGTAGGTATATTTCCCTGATGACTAATGATATTGAATATTTTTGTTTATAGTCATCTGAGTGAATTTGAAGGGGTATCTCTTTGTGATTTGCATTTCCATATCCCTTTATGACTGAAGACATTGAGGATTTTTTCATGTGCTTTTTGGCTGTTTGTATATCTTCTTTGGACAAATGTATATTCAGATCCTTTTCCTATTTTAATTGGATAACTTATCTTTTTATTGAGTTGTAGGAGTTCTTTATTCTAGATACAAGACTCTTATCATATATATACTTTGCAGAAATTTTCTCCTAGTCTTTGGGTTGTCTTTTCACTTTCTTGATGGCATCCTTTTAAGCACAAAGTTTTTAATTTTGATGAAGTCCTATTTATCTATTTTTTCTTTGCTTACTTGAGCTTTTGACTTCATACCTAAGAAATCATTGCCAAATCCAGTGTCACAAAGATTTACCCCGTTAGTGAAAACATAAGTTTTGGCTAAATGTAAGAACATTTATGCCTTTGGTCCATTTTATTTGTTTTTATATGACATGAGATAGAGATCCAACTTCATTCTTTTGCATGTGGATGTCTGCTTGTCCCAGTACCATTTGTTGAAAAAACTATTTTTTCCCTTTTATTTTATTTATTTTTTATTTATTTATTTATTTATTTATTTTTGTGAGGAGATCAGCCCTGAGCTAACATCTGCCAATCCTCCTCTTTTTTCTGAGGAAGACTGGCCCTGGGCTAACATCCGTGCCCATCTTCCTCCACTTTATATGGGA